TTTGTTTGTAGCAATGTCGTATGACTATACTAGACACTCTAACTCCCGATGATATTCGTATACTGAGTGAAACTGAAGATGAATACAGTCGCCGTGGTTACTTTCAACGTGTATTCCCATCACCCACCTCTCATAATTATTTACGATATTTTGAGCAGCCGAGATATTATAATATTTTGATGGATGAATGGGTTCGAAAATATCACAAGCAACCAGCTCGAGGTAAGAGTTATTAAATTGTGTATCAAGGCTTGCAAACTTGCATGTTTTCGTCGCAATTCATAGATGAAGCTGAAAGTACAGTCATGGGTTGATATTGCCAGATAGAACATCATTCATTTATGAGAAGCAGATTACAGCCTGGGTTAACACTAACCCTTTGCCATTGTCACACTTAAGGGAGTCGCGCAATTTGCATGCGAGTCGTAATTCAAAATTTATGAATGACTGATGAGACATAAATCAGCGACACTTGATTCACAATGATCTAGAATCATTAAAATAGTAATAAATACAGCTTTTGCCAATATTTGTCATGAGGGATGATAAAGAAACCTGTTTGTGGTTTCAGCGTACAATGGATCATTGCTTATCTAGATTTTAATTTATATTTATATTTACAGGCATCGGTTTATTGGAGGAGTACTGTAGGGAAGGTGTACATGTCGGTAGTAGTGATTCAAGCCACGTGGTATGTACTACTCCCAATCAATATAGCACCAATATACGATGTAATATATGCACTCGTAGAAGTCGTCATTCCTCTCTTAGTAACAGCCCTGTAGATGCTAGACTAAAAGAGGAAACCTTACCATTAATCGAAAGTACTAAAATCATTCCAAGGAAGGGTTCGTCAAGAGTAAAGAACCAATAATCACAACAACATTAGCAATATGTAGCAAAGAATATGCCAATTTATTTTGGAGCCTACGTTGAAACGAGACATAAAGAAAGTAAAGCTGTCAAGAGTTCAGAATGGCCGAATGACTAATTTAGATAAATTAATCCGCAGTAGTTTATTTGTCAGCAGACAAGTAGCTTGAAGTCAAAGAAAAAACTCTTCCCCACAGGTAGTTAGTTTGCTTTCCAAACCGGCTGGTTTATCTAAAAGATCATCCCATGGCAAAAACACACCTAAATATGATGCAGATAAGATTAGGTATGTTATTTTTAGTTGTAACAAAGACAAGAAAGCTACATCGGAGAGAAATATAGACGCCTATAAAGATAAAACTGACATTCTTATTGATAGAATATCGTTTAGAAGTTCATCACCGAGTCGAAAATTCTATTCTCCCGTACCGTTGCTAGCCACAAATATTGGTTTGTATTCGAGATATTGTAATACAAAACCACCACCTAAAGGAGAGTAGCAAGAAGACATAGGAAGGCGAGAAATGGATAGTGGCTGGCAATAGAAACAACATTTTGCCCACACATTGATGATCAGTTTGAACAGGTTTTTAGGTTAATATTTGTAGCGGTTACAGGCTAATGATATGCAGCGGTCGGTGAGATACATATAGCAGGCTTATAGGCAGTGGTCAGAGGCACAGCACAGGACAGCAAGCTTATGCGTAGCGGTCAGAGAGACAGCAAACTTGCGGATATCGGTCAAAATCATTACCAGTATATTTCAGCTAGGTACATGTAGTTAGGGATCAAACAAGCAGCTGATGACACAGAGGTTAGAACCGGTCATAGAATAGTGGTTGACTATTAGATAAGGTAGGATTATCATCACTTTAAATTAGCAATATAAATAAAAAATTGCTAAATAGATTTTAATATATTACTGCAATCGACATTTAGCAGTGAATAATTTGTTAATTAATTAATTTCATTAACTAATTGTTGGAGGATATTTAATGTTCTGACTATATGTAGAGTTTTGTTTTTAAAATTGAGCCAACACCTCAAGAACAATTTACCATATAAATTACAGTTTGTTCTTGTAATACAATTATAAATATTTGTGTTTTCACAGTGGATGCCAATCTCCAGCTATCTGATTGTTAGAGATACCAGGTCTACGAGTGCCACCCATAGAAAAGATGCACCTCCTGAACTTAAAACCAGGTAATTATTGAGAGCCAACCCAGACAAAATAAATATTGATACCTCAGGCATTGTACTATTGTGTCTATCACTGTATTAAGAGATGATAATTCTGCGTGTACCTACACAAAAGCAATGAGACTTCAATTTTATTACTGTTTTATTACAGTTCATCTACATCCTCGCTACCACGGCTACGTAGACGAGTTGCAAAGTCACGATCAGTACAACAGTATCATGGGCCAGGACACACCTCTGTGTCAAACGGCCATTCAGCACAGTCATCCTCCGGTAGAACAATCAGTACTCCTAGTGTGATTTCTCTGACGAGTAGACCACCACCTTATCCAGTTACTACCAAACCCAGGGTAGTACGTCAAGAGGAAACCTCCACAAGTTGACTCGGGGTACGCCTGCCTCCACTCAGTGATGTCTTTATGATGCCTTCCCCAGTATTCCGCAAATCTTACAGATATGTGCTAATGCAAGATGAAAATAAAGTCAAGAAGAAGAAGTTTCTGTGAACTCATGGCTTTGCATTATTCTAGTTATACTGAGAACAATATATTCACTCTGCATCTATTAGTTTTCTAAATAAATTTTTTTCATCTTTACTTTCATACATAATCTGTTGACAACCTCTTATGTTATATTATTCTTAACTGAAACCACAGATGTTATATATGCTGGTGATGGATCGCTTCTACAGATCAATGAAATAAGATTTTTTTTTTTTTTGAAAGTGCACAAGCTGTTACAGTATTTTTTTTTATTTGTTCATATTCATTAATCTTTTTAATACTTACCCAAATGACCTTTGTGATATCAAATATAAACATGGGGTGAAATGTTATGACAGTCATGCTAAGCACATGCTAACAGCACCTAGATCTCTTCTATACATATGTAAACAGCACCTAGACAGCTACTATGCATATGTAAGTAGCACCTAGACTGCTACTATGCATAAAGAGTGCCTAGACAGCTTCTGTGGACGTGCAAACAGCACCTAGGCAACTGAAAAATTAATTCTTGGTTGACGAAAACATTTGCATGCTATTATCATAAAAGTATCCCATATTACATGACATATAGTATGGTTACCTATTTGGTATCGCAAAGGTCAGTTTGGCTCAGAATTGCATGATTCAAAACAATGAAGAAAAAATAGTGAAAAACGCAGCAGACATGTTAAATAGAGTACACAGTAATTTACACTTGTTTACTAATGAGCAAAGGTCATGACATTCTGAAATGGTGCTATTTATCAACAATGTCTTCCAATACTTATTATAGTAAAAAGATTTTTGTGTCATACAGGATATAAATTTATATATAATACATATGATATTAAGCTTTTTAAAATCTTTCCTGTCTCTGTCTTTCATATGAATGAAAACAGAATTGAAAATATACTTGCAAGCAAATAACATATCTCATGGAATATTTAATACAGTTTTGATTATAATACTGTAATTTCACTGTCTTAGCTAATCTTTTGAATTCTCTGTGGCCTGTTTTTAGTCATGTGTCGGTAGCAGTAAATTTTTTTCTCGTCATCAGGATTGTTGACAAATAGTTGCCAACAATCCTATTAAAATATTTGTACCCCTCTTGTTTCTCTGGATTGTAGAGGGTATGTAAAAATAATTTACTTGGCAATATTCAAAATGTTGAAATTAATGTCTAATTGGTCCAATTTACATTATGAAATTGCTACAAGGAATACAGTTTACAGAGAACACAGTTTTTGAAAGTTACTCAAGACAACAGAATGTGCCTTGCCCATCACAATGTGTGCATGTTTCACTCTGTTACCAAGGACAATTTGAGGAGCCATCATTACATTATGAACTAGACTTGCTTGCATTCTGTTGCGATTCCGCTGAAAAACGAGAGGTGAACGCGTAAGTCATGTGACCGCAAAATCCCAACAGACTTGCCATCAGTGTGTGCGTCCTTACCGGCCAGATTTGCATAAATTTGCATATACGTCATACAGTGGTTGGAGCAGCCGAGCCACTGAGTGTATGTGGTTTCCCGGGTCTCAGTTGATATGTTAATTAGCCTGTCTTCTGATTGGTTGAAACATATTAGACATGGTAATCATTACAAGCCTGAATCTGGGCGGTAATGTGAGGGCGCTTACACTGATGGCAAGTCTGTTGGGATTTCGCGTTTCGCGGCCACATGACTTCCGCGTTCACCCCTTGTTTACGCAATTTATATTTATTTTTCAAGAATTTTTCATCTGAATCGCAACAGACTGCAAGCAAGTCTAAATATGAACTATTAATCTACAAGTATGAGGGAAGGGGTTTTGAAACTTTACAACTTGATGTGTACTGTCTATCCTATAATATCCTATAACTATGTTAGCGCTAGTAGCTTTTATTAGTAAATGAGTTGCTTACTAGAGCTTTAGTATGTTTCAGACGGTAGGCAATAACGCCACATCGGTATTATTTACAATAATACAGAATTTTTTGCTTAATCTGTTTATACTGATAACACATTTCAAACAAAGATGCCAAAATTGAAACTTAAACAGCACTAGTGGTAAATGCTGTATTTCCAGAAGTGTATTCTGAAGTACTTACAATTCTTGTTTTAGTTGTAATGGGAGGGGCATCAGTAAGACTTACTTACAGTGGGGTGCAGGCCCAAAAGTGGAGTTTATTTTACAGATTTATATTTGAATTATGTTGTGGATGGTATGCCAGTATTAGTACCATACCATCTCATTGTGTTAAAGGCCCATGTATTGTCACCCGGTTACTATCAGTAGATGATCATATTGTCTGTTTTTTGTACATACTCTGTGGATCTTTTTGGTCAATATTCAATCTTCAATGACATGGGCCTTTAGACAGATGTGTTTTTGGCAAGTTATTGACACTGTGACTATTAATATTTAGTAAAAGTAAAATTTGTACTTTTTATTATATATTTTTTTTTTTATTTTTAATCGTGCATGATATCGATATCAGTGTTTCTAACACCTGTAAGTCAGTGATGGTATTAAATTGCAGTTGTATTTACATGTATATATGTCAACTGCGTACTGAAAACACTTTTGAATCACTGCTGATAAAATCTTGTAAAATGACCAAGCCAAGAAATGTATAAAGATATGTACATACTTAATGTTAAATAATCATATTTTAAGTGCGTTTTGTCAAATTTGTATTGTTCTTTATGTCTTTCATCTCAGCGGTGCAGGGAACCAACTAAAATGCAATCATTCTTGTTGATGCAGGGTTACATGCTGCTCTGCAGATCAAAGTTTATTTGATTGTTTTTGGTTATATGTACATACATACATATATAAATGATGGTCATGTTATTTTCTGTTCATTCTCATGGCCGAAAATTGTTCTTATTTGAGTGGTGGTCTTTCACATTATTTTGTTTGTGACTGGGTTGATATGTACATTTACATGACAATCAGTAAAACAATTGATTGTTTTCGCCGTACATTGGAATTGGCAGCAATTTATTTAAGTCCAGTCTTGACAACTCACCTGGGTCTATTATGGTGAATCTATTCAGAAGTTCTTTGGTTGTATTTATAAAAACAGCTCTTTTTGTTCCTCGATGATACTGATGTGAATATCTCAAAATATTAATGGAGCAAAATATTGTTCCCTTTAATCTCTGCCAGTCAAACATTTCTTCAAGTTAAGGTTTGGTGTACAAGAGAACAAACTATATTATCATTTGTACCACAGCTGTCCTTAATTGGCTTATGAGCATTTTAGAATTTCTGTGGTTATATGGCCTAAATACATAGTACGAGATCAAAATATTGACATCTCAGAATAGTGCAACAAATTCACAAAATATTGGATTAGTCGAAATTTTTCAATTTGTGACAGCTGTGGTACTAATAAATAAAGCGGTAGAGTTGTCATCTGCGTACGTGTGGGAATTGAGTCCTAATCGACGATAACACATGCTAAAAATGGGTCATGGTTAAACGCTTGTTTGTAAATAATGAGGCGCTATGGACATCTGTTGCATGCGCAGGTGACGACTCCATCGCTTTTAAATCATGTTCATTTGGTGGCTATGTAAACCACTGTATCATATGACTATGATTTAACTAGCATGTAATTACTGGTTTAGAATTGTAATGAGCTTTATTCAGGATACTTGAATCGTAAGTTGTATGAGCTTAGCAATCTGGCAATGTCTTGATTACGAGTACAATGTATCGTTAAAGATACTTTTCAGACTTTTGAGACTATGGATATATTAAACTTAATTGAAATATCATTTAAAGACAGCTTTAAGATTTCAGTTATATGAGCATTGCAAGAACCAAGATTTGTAATAATAAATTTACTTTGTGGTGTATCAAAATCTTAGTAGTATCACTGAACACTGCCTCGCCATTTATTTGACTTTGTGAGTGGACAGGGATATCATCTAGGCTGGAGATGTCTGGAAATTGCAGTTTAGAAAAACATTATCAGATAAATTTATTTATCACAGCCATATTTCCGCAGTGTGATGCAATACAGGACAGATCAAAAATGTATATCATAAAGTTTGACGTCACATACTGCCAACTTTTCATTGTACACGCTACCAAAATGTTATCTGGAGCTTCCGGGTTTACTACAAAACTACAGATTGTGACAAGCTCCTAGTAAATTGTAGAAAATATTGCAAACCAGCAAAAGTCCCACACAGTGTACGCAAAGCATTGGTATGAGATAGATAGTACACCATCACATCAACAGAATCAGCAATGATATATTCATATTGATGTTACTTCTGCGTCAGTGGGCAATCTGTCAACACATTGTATTTGCTCTTAGGCTATTACTGTAAAATCTCTCTTAGAAGCTGCGGCTTCTATTAAAATGGTACAATACAACACGGGATGTGAATTCTATTAAAGCATCTACACAGAGAAATGGTGGATTTTTGGTTCTCAATTGTTCAAAAAGAATGGATGCGGCTTCTAATACAGATTTTACGGTAGTAGCACATACACCTACGTAAATGACAGATTATGTCTAGGGTCAAAATAAGTTGTACTGGAATTAATTCTCGCTGAAAAAGCTTTTTGGGTGTTTTGTATGGAATTTATTTTCACTGATTTTTGATGAGTTGAATGTGAGACATAGGAAAAAAAAAGTATATTCGCTGGATTTTATTTTCACTGAATCATCCCTTCAGCGAAAATAGCGAAAATAAATTCCAAGTGGAAATAAAGTATTCTACAGTATGTTAAATGATCAAGTATGTGTTGATTTTCATGTGCTTCTAATAGAGTAAATGCATTATTACCGTGAATTAAAAGCAACCAAACCAGCAGTATTGCAATATTGTTACTTGTTTTGCCAACAAAATAATGTAACAGTTTGTAAGCTGATATAAATATGGCTAT